TTTTTTTTGAGACAGTATCTCACTCTGTGGCCCAGGCCAGAATGCAGTGGCACAATCCTGGCTCACTGCAACCTTCACGTCCTGGGTTCAGGCAATTCTCCTGCCTCAGCCTCCCAAGTAGCTGGGATTACAGGAGCACACCACCACACCTGCCTAATTTTTGTATTTTTAGTAGAGACAGCGTTTTGCCATGTTGAGGTCACTCCTGACCTCAAGTGATCCACTTGCCTCAGCCTCCCAAAGCGCTGGGATTACAGGCATGAGTGACTGTATCCAGTCCTAGACTTTTCAAAAAAATGAAGTTCAGAAAAGTCATCCATTTGCTCTGTAGTTTTTATCAAGCTCTACTGAGGGCTTTTGCACTCCTCAAATAAGTGATTCTAGCATTTTTCAAGAAGATAATAGATACACATGAAATGCTCATTTAGGACTGCTCTACCATTAATGAGTTTGTTGAAGACAGAGTAGGTTTGTGGGAACACAGCTTCAAGTACAATGTTCTTCTTCAAAAAGAAATATTACATATTAGTCTTTTTTAGCTGGGCACAGTGGCTCATGCCTATAATCCCAACACTCTGGGAGGCCAAGGCAGACAGATCACTTGAGGTCAGGAGTTCAAGACCAGCCTGGCCAACATGGTGAAACCCCATCGTTACTAAAAAATAAAAAATTAGCTGGATGTGGCAGTGCACAGCTATAATCCCAGCTACTCAGGAGGCTGAAGCAGAAGAATCACTTGAACCCAGAAGGCTGCAGTGAGCTGAGATCGTGCCACTGCACTCCAGCATGGGTGATGGAGTGAGACTCCGTCTCAAAAAAATAAAAATTAGTCTTTTTTGCCTTTTTCTTTAAACCAGTAATTATTAACATAAGTGCTCAGGTAAAACTCAGGGAGTTTATGTTCAGAAATTATCTCCCGTCCCAAAAAGTTTTCATCTGTGCCTAGGTTCATATAAAATCTCTCATTTTATGAGTGTTCTCAATTATTTTGTTATGAAGAACAAAATCCTCTTTACAGAACACGAGTTAACTTCAACTGATCTCAGCTGGTGTCAGTTTTAGATGCTTATAGAAATCAACTGAAAAAATGAGAGATGGGTATAGCATATTTCATCATTATGTTAGGGTTCAGAACCTCACATTTGGGAATATCATATGTCTTTGTAAGGAACTTAATGATCAATTTGGAAACTTTATAGAAAGCATTTAAATGGTGGTGAGGACAAATGTATACAGATAGGCTGACTTTTTAAAAAAGAACGTTTCCTAAGATCACCTGATTGGATACTTGAATCTTGGGATAAAATTCCGGTGACATTATAAGTAGATTTGTTTGTTTTGAGACAGAGTTTCACTCTGTCGCCCAGGGTGGAGAGCCGTGGCATGATCTCAGCTCACCAAAACCTTCGCCTCCTGGGTTCAAGTAATCCTCCTGCCTCAGCCTCCTGAGTAGTTCGGATTACAGGCATCCACCACCACACCCAGCTAATTTTTGTATTATTAGTAGAGACAGAGTTTTGTCATGTTGGCCAGGCTGGTCTCAGACTCCTGACCTCAAGTGATCTGCCTGTCTTGGCCTCCCAAACGGCTGGACTTACAGGCATGAACCACTGAGCCCGGCTTATAATAAATTTAAAAAGCACTGTTTATCAAACATTCAGGAGGAAGTCAAAATTATATGCTCTATAAAACATATATAACTTGAAAAGTGGCTCTGTTGATCATAAAGATACCGAGATTGAAGCTGCCTACGAACTGTTTGGATAAAACTATTCTCCAAATTGTGAAAAAGACAATTTCTAAATTCACATTTATGTCACTTTAAGTGAGCATATAAAATGCACTTACTGAATGTTATGTATAGGTATTTGACAATTTCACCTACATCCCTACAAATTTATTTCTTTAATTTAAAAATGAGAGACAAGATATCACTCTGTCACTGAGACTGGAATCAGTGGTACAGTCATAGCTCTCTGCAACCTCAAAGTCCTAGGCTCCAGAGATCTTCCTGCCTCTGCCCCCCAGGTAGCTGGGACCACAGGTGTGTACCACCCTGCCAAACTCATTTTTACATTTTTTGTAGAGATGAGGTCTCACTATGTTGCCTAGATTGGGTTCAAACCTCTGATTGCAAGTGATCCTCCTGCCTTGGCCTCCCAAACTGCTAGGATTACAGGCATGAGCCACTATGCCCAGCCCTAAAAGTCTATATAGTCAAATTGTTAACACAGACCATGAAAACCTTTTTTGCTCTTTCTTATGGGAAAAAAATTGCAATCACTTTATATTTGAAGATATGTTTCTCTTTTTTTTTTTTTTTTTTAAGACGGAGTCTCCCTCTGTCACCCAGGCTGGAGTGCAGTGGCACGATCTCAGCTCACTGCAACCTACGCTTCGCTTCCTGGGTTCAAGCGATTCTTCTGCCTCAGCATTTCAAGTAGCTGGGATTACAGGCACCCACCAACAGACCTGGCTAATTTTTGTATTTTTAGTAAAGACGGGATTTCACCATGTTGGCCAGGCTAGTCTTGAACTCCAGACCTTGTGATCTGCCCTCCTCAGCCTCCCAAAGTGCTGGGATTACAGGCGAGAGCCACTGCGCCTGGCCATGTTTCTTATAATAAAGATTTCCATTAAAATGCAGGGAATTCAGCATGGGGAACTTAACTGATATAAATAATGCTAAATATATTTGAATTTTCTCCCTAGGAATAAGAAAGTTCTCAACTGCTTATACAAAAATCCTGAGGCCATTTTTAAGCTGATATGCTTTCCTTGGGCGGGAGGTAGCTCCATTCATTTTGCCAAATGGGGCCAAGACACTCAAGATAGTCTGGAAGGTACGTTCATTTTCAACACCATTTAAGCAATTTATAAGGGCAGATGACATAAATGTATTAGAATTTGAAGTTCGGTCAAGACTTTACATCTTGGTAGGTAATTAATAATAAATTTTCAAGATTACGCTACAATAGGGTGACTTTTACATTTCTAAAGTAAGTTGCCTTTATTTTGCTATTATCGTTAGAGCTAGAAGGACCTTTTAGGAGAAGAAATTCTAATACTGCATTTGTCTTTGGTACAATTACTGATATGGTGGAACTGAATCTACTATCTTACAATTGTTTCCTATTTGTCCAATGATATGTTCTATTTTCCCTTTTTCTGCTTTTCTTTTGAATTAACCGAGAGTCTAAAAGACAGCTATAAATCCAGGCAGTGGCTCATGCCTGTAATACCAGCACTTTGGGAGGCCGAGGCAGGAGGAATGCTTGAGGCAAAGAGTCTAAGACCATTCTGGGCAACATAGTGAGCCCCTGTCTCTATAATAATAATTACTTATTTATTCATTTATTTATTTATTTTGAGTTGGAGTCTCACTCTGTCACCCAGGCTGGAGTGCAGTGGTGCCATCTTGGCTCACTGCAACCTCCACCTCCTAGGTTCAAGTGATTTTTGTGTTTCAGCCTCCCAAGTAGCTGGGATTACAGGCACTTGCCACCAAGCCTGGCTAACTTTTATGTTTTTTGTTTTTTGTTTTTTTTTTTTTGAGATGGAGTTTTGCTCTGTTGCCCAGGCTGGAGTGCAATGGTGCATTCTCAGCTCACTGCAACCTCTGCCTCCAGGGTTCAAGCAATTCTCCTGCCTCGGCCTCCTGAGTAGCTGAGATTACAGGTGCACGCCACCAGGTCTGGCTAATTTTTGTATTTTTAGTAAAGACAGGATTTCACCATGTTGGTCAGGCTGGTCTCGAACTCCTGAACTTGTGATGCGCCACCTTGGCCTCCCACAGTGCTGGAGTTACAGGTGTGAGCCACCACGCTCACCTAATTTTTATATTTTTTAGTAGAGATGGGGAAAGTGTTTTCATTGGCTGGCTGAAAAACTTGGATTTATAATTTCTAAATTTTGTATGATAAATTTATCTTTGTTTATGATAAAGTGTGTTAGATTTTCTTGACCAGTAAGAATAGGTCATTCTACTGGAATTAAGGGTGGTTGCTTAATTACTGAGTTCAAGAGTGCCCTCTTCTGTTGCTCTAGTGAAGTGCAGTTTGAAAAACCACCTCGTTTGTGTGGATGGGGGTTCTGTACTTCTGGTTCTTTGATATTTTCATGTTTCTGTAGGATTCTTATCTCCAGGCCCTTCCCTCTTTATTTTTAACCATCAAGATTCCCAACACTATACCTCTCTATTCCTCAAGCTTTCCAAGTCTCATCCTTTCCACATGCTGGTAGCCAATACTCTGGTATCAAGTCTCAAACCAAATAATCCATTCATTGGAAGAAGAGAGCCCTGTAATTCCTAAATGCCACTTTAGAAATTATTGGAAATACTTTTATATGAAGTTTTTAATCAATACCTGATGGTTCAATTTAGACAATTAAAAGCCACTCCTTTAAACAAATTTTCAAATAGTTGATTTATAAAAGTGTGTACCATAAACTTAACCATGTCCACTGCTCCACTTATAGAATAAAACCGTATGGATATAGTTGAAGTCTCCCTCGCCATTTGTGGGGGAACTGACTTAAGCAAGATATAGTATAATCTCTCATATTTCTAACCTTATATTTTGAGACAAAGTCACCCTCTGTCCCTCAGCCTGGAGTTCACCAGCAGCATCTCAGCTCACCGCAATCTCTACCTCCCGGGTTCAAGTGATTCTCCTGCCTTAGCTTCCCAAGAATCTGGGATTACAGGCATGTGCCACCATGCCCAGCTAATTTTTGTATTTTTAGTACAGACAGGGTTTCATCATGTTGGCTAGGATGGTCTAAAACTCCTGACCTCAGGTGATCCACCTGCCTTGGCTTCCCAAAGTGCTGGGATTACAGGCGTGAGCCACCACACCTGGCCTATATAAATGTTTTATACTGTAAACATTACACTGAAACTTGCTTTTCCCTCAGTTTATTTTTTGGGATGCATCATGTGGGTATGTGTATCTCTATTCCATCAGTTTTAAACTGATTTTTTGTATTCTACTGTGTGAATATAACACAATTTATCTATTCTGTTCTCAGACATTCTGGTCATTTTCATTTTTGTGCTATTAGTGTAAACAGTGCTTCCATGAGCATCTTATCCATGTCTCCTTACATACACGTACAAGACAGTCTACTAGGAGTGGAATTTCTGGGTGATAGATTATGAACATCTTCAATGACATAAAATATTGTCAAATTGTTCTCCAAAGGAATTATAATAATTTATACTACTGGCCAGGCACGGTGACTCACATCTGTAATCCTAGCACTTTGGGAGGCTGAGGTGGGCGGATCACAAGGTCAGGAAATCAAGACCATCATGGTTAACACGGTGAAACCCTGCCTCTGCTAAAAATACAAAAAAAAAAAAAATTAGCCGGGCATGGTGGTGGGCGCTTCCTAGCTACTTGGGAGGCTGAGGCAGAGAATCGTTTGAACCCAGGAGGCGGATATTGCAGTGAGCTGAGATCATGCCACTGCATTCCAGCGTGAGTGACAGAGCAAGACTCCGTCTCAAAAAAATAATACTAATAATTTATACTACCAAAGCAACACATAGGAAAATTCTCATTGCTCTATATTGCTGACAACACTGTTGTAATCTTTTGCTACTCTGTGCTGAAATTATTCTAACTTTACATTGATCAATCCTTATTACAAGTAAGATTGGGCATCTTTTCACATATGTATTCACTCTGAATATTTTCTTTCCTGTGAGCTTCTTGTTAGTATCTTATGTTCACTTCATTTGATTAATTTTTTTCTCGTTGACATGTAGAAATTCTTTCTTTCCTTCCTTTCTCCATCCCTTTCTTCCTTCTTTCCTTCCCACCTCTCTCTCTCTCTCTCTCTCTCTAATCCCCCCCCCCACCCCCC